GATCGCCGCCGCCTCGCCGGGCGTTTCCCTCCTGCCCCGGCCGCGCTTCCGAGTCTGAAGCCGGTCGCTTGGTTTCCGGAAGAGAAAAACCAACAACTTTTCGGCAGCGGCCGAGGATGGAGGCCGTCGGTATGGATTATTTCTGCGAGCAGGTCCAGCAGAAGGACGTGGGCCGCAGGATGCAGGTCGGCCAGGAGCTGCTGGAGTACCTGAGCGACCCGGCCAGGTCAGCCGACCTGGAGCAGGACCAGCAACGCCTGGACAAAGTGATCGACGAATTAACAGCGTGGGTCAACTCCAGCAATTTTAAGGTAAGGTTGGGTCGGCGAGGCGTGGGACAGGAGGACCATGATTCATCATGGCAAGGAGGTACAGAGCTCTGGATTACTTTTTAATCAGATACGAGCAGAAATAAAACTGCATTTATGCCAGTTTTTATCTTTCCTCCTCCGCTCGCAAAGGGAAATTCAGGAATTTTGGGAGGGGTTGGTTAGCGTATTGTTGTCTCTATTCCTCTGTCCTGAAAGAAGCAGTAATGTTTTGATTTGTGGGTTTGGTTTGGGTTGTTTTTGGTTTTTTTTTGCGTTAAACGTTTTTGCACGTCATAATGAAAAAATCCCATGCAACTGTTTCATATACTCGGGTTGTGTTTCTTATTCTGAAACAAGGTAGGTGGTGATTTTTATTTTTTTTTGCTTTATTATTCGCTATCACTCCCATTCCATGTTCTCTGTACTTGGGTGCAGCGTTTCATGGGATTGCCATAATTTTCTGTAGGCCGTGAAGAGTGCTGTTTCACCGTGTTTGTGTTACTCCGGGTGCGTGTTGTACGATTTAATGAATAACTTGCTGCTTGGGCTTCCCATTGCAGATTTAAAGTTGTTTATATCGTCTTTAGGTGACTTTCCTGTACGTGGGAAGTTATATAGTATTTTCATAGCCGCCCAATGATGACTCACGTTTGGCTTTCTTTTTACCTTGGTGCGTTTTAGACTGAGCTAGAGGAAAATAGTGATTACTCCTGCACACGTCTCTTGTAATATTTGTAGTTTTTTCCTGATGCTGCTTAGCCAGTAACACGATTGACAAGGCAGCTTGGCTACCAACGACAATCGCATTGGCGTTAGCGATTTTTTTTAGTTTATTTTTTATTATTTATTTTTTTTGGTGTGCGCGGTGTGTGGCGGGGACGGCCGGGTCTGCGCTGCCGCCGTCGGGTGGCGGTGTCGGTCTGCGGCGCTGGGCTCGGCGCTGCTCAGCCGGGCCCAGTCTTCAGCGCTTCTCCCCTTCATTCGCCTTGCGAGATGATTGACTTGCGCTGTGGGCCTTTGAACTTAGTGTAAAGGGGTTATTGTATTTTTTTTTCTATTTACTCAGACTCAGGAGTCACTTGAAAGGGGCAATATATTCATGAAATGGGTATTTTCTTTTTCCTACCAGTCTTGACACATAGCACTTCTAAGTTTGAGGTCTGAAAATAATAAGGCTTAAGTCTATTTTCACGTATGATTTTTTTTTTGAAGCACATTTGTCATTAAAGGTCAGGTTAGCTGGAGGAAGTAATCTGTGTTGGACAAGTGTCATTTATTTTCCTTTAAATTCCTAATCTGAGGGCAGTTGTTGGTGATAACTGATTACTATGAAACCTGGACAGATCTTTAATAGCCTTTTGTGTAAAGAGGACTGGATACTTACTTATCTCAATAGGGTGATGTAAAAGGTGGGGGTTTTTTTTCTGCACTTTTAAATTGACAAAATTAGGAGCTAATACTTGAAATTTGCTTTTCAAGATGTATTCTTCATTAAGACTGTAGGACAAATGAGGACTATGCAGTACTCCCAGATCACAAGCCTCAGCCATGCAAGATGAGGTTAAGGGTTTTACAAATTCTAAGAGTTTAAAAAATAGCTTGCATTGTAATTTTTTTTTTAACCTTCTCTCTGTCCACTTACTGGTTGCTCCTTATACATACAACATTCTATATGAAAGCATGTTATATACATTATATTAACTGCAACAGCTCAAGATCTTGGATGTTTTGCACATGATGAGTTCCAGTGTTCCTGACTGTGCTGATGACTGCCTACATCTGCTGCTTCAAAATGAAAATTTAAAATGTTCTGGATCGCTGTGGTTTGTATCTTGTGTATTTTACCTTATGCAAGCATACATGGTACATGTTTAAATGTTAGAGCTGAGTTTTTTACTAAACTCAGAGCTTGAATGAGATCACAAAGTAGTGAGTACCACAGGCTTACGTGGTTTCTCAGGAAAAATATCAAAGTAATCGTTATTTTTCATTACTGTATTTTTAATAATTAGTTGGTTAGCCTTTTCTCTGCTGAGGAATGGATATGTAGAGCACTTGGGCAGTTCTGCTTATCATTTCTTTCTTCTTATATCTTGCTAAAGGTCTTCTAGATCTTCAAAGTCTCGCAGTAATTAATCCCTCCCTGTTGACATGGCTGTTTCATTGAGCAGTGATAATGGCTGGCAACTGGCTTATTCATCAGGACTGCTGAGCTAGATCAATTGGACTGACAAGTGGGGAATACTGGAGGAAGTTTTGAAGGGGAGCATTATTTCCCCTGTAGGCGGAAATTATTTTTCTCTGTAGGTGACCGGTATGGATAACGAGGGAATGACCAATGTGCTGTATCTTTCCTGTCATAAAACCCAGTTCTTGCAAAAGCACATAGGAAAATTTCTGAGTTTGTCTAGCTCATTGGAGTGGAAAACACAATTACCAGTCCGAGTTACTGATAAATCCAAAAGGTGGGATTAAGAATGCGTTGACTCATCTGCAAATGGTATGGAATTCTAGTGAAAGTTGGTTGGAGAGCATGGGAAGTGACCTAGAGAGAGAGGAGTCGTCATGTTCAAAGGCTGACCCTAATGGTGTGTTCTGGGGACTGCAGTTGCTGTGTCTATGCAGTCGGTGAAAATGAGCTTTAAAAGGCTGCTGAAAACTTTGCAACACCAGGGAGTACACGGAAGATGTGCGTAATTTAAGCTTTTATTTTGGATCTCATTAGAATGAAAGAGTTGCTCACTGAACTGAAATTTGTTCATTTGGTGTCCTGGTACTGTGATCTGGTTTATTTCATATTGGTTGGGACCGACCTCTCCCGAAAATATAGAACTTTGGAGTTTTTGTGTTTGTGTGGGTTGTGAGTTTTGGGGTTTGTTTTATTGTATGTTGGGGTTTTTTTTTCTTTCCCAAATTGACTGTTTTCCCAAGGATCTGAGGAATAGAGAATTCTGAAATCTTTTTAAGGAGTAGTTATGTTGGATAGAAAGTATTAAGAGTTGGATGATGGTGATATTCTGCTGGTATTTGTTCTCATCAAACTTTGAAATAGTTTGCAGTCTTGGAAAATTGGAACAATGCTAATGTTCAAGTTCAGGCTCTCGGGTCAACTTCAAGCAGTGAATTAATTCCCCATTCTGAGAGTATCACTGCTGATAGGTATTTACTGGTTTTACTGGTTAACCTGGGTGTTTTATCTATGTGCACATGAGTTTTAATTAACATACGTCTCTCTTGTACTCAATAGTCACTTGAAAGAATTACAAGATTATCTGACTTTGTACAGTCTGGTGGCTCAAACTGTCCTGTGTCTGACTCAAATAAATAATCTGGAAATCTGCTTTGAACTTCTGCTAAAGAGATACAAGATGGAGAAATACTGCTTTTCAAGTAAAGCCTTGCAAGTCTACATTTGGCTGTTAGCGTATTGCAGTTTTATAAGCCCACCAAAATTGAATAGTTACCCTCTTAAAATTTATTTTTTGAGCAGTGAAGTAACATTTCAGTTCTTTATGCAAATCACACCTGATGAGAAGTAATTAAAACCTATGACTAAAATTCTTGTCGTTTCTCAAGGTAATTTTATGTGAGAAGAGTAATCAGTAACATTTGTGACTGTGAGTCATCTTTGGATTTCTTACCTTTGTAGTTGATATTTTAGCCTGTTTTGTTCCTCAGCTGCAGCAGGAAAATAATTAAGAATGGCTGGTTTTATGTCAGAGCAGCAGATTGAAACCTGGTTTCACACTGTTTCTGATAGTGTGGATAATCTGTTTCTTTTTGGCAAATCCTTGGACTTTTCTTTTATTCTATGCTTCCTGTAGAGTGAGGTTTTTCTTAGCTTTGTTTGTCTCAACACTAAATACTGAAAGATACTAAAATACCAGTAATGTTGTTATTGCATTTTTGTATTTCCTTGGTTTGGCAAGTATTTATTTTGGTTTGTCTTTAGTTCAACGAAAGGCCAGCAGGAGGAGCTTTCAGTTTCTAGAAAGGAAGGGAAGATCTGAACTGTAATTTTGCAGATAGTGAAGACAAGCGGTCAGGACGTTTGTCTGAAGTGCAGAGAGACAGCAGCAGTTACAACTTTGTTGAGTGCATGTAAGTGTGTGAGGTGGAATCCAGAACTTAAAATTATTTGAACAAAATGGAGATGCTGAGAGCTGAAAAAAGTTCAGAAATTAAAAAGGTGAAGCCCAACATATTGGTAAGAAGAACTGAATGCACAAATGCAGGATATGGGGTGTGTGATTAGCAGTCCTTAAGAAGAATGTGTGGGTTATTTTGGATCTGAAGTTGAACGCAAGCCAACACATGCTACACAAAAGGCAAATGCTGTAGCGAGTTGTGGGACTATAACCTGCAGGACAGAAAAATGGACTAAAAGACAACCCACCTCAACCTTTATTTTTCAGTTACTGTATAGATCCTCATATTTTTTTAGTCTTCATTAGCAAATAGTCGTAATTTAAATGTCTTTGTTGGAGGAGAAATGTTTGACTTTGCTGAATTTCATTATTCCTTTCTTCAAGTTGTGTGTTTAATCTTGGCTATGTGGGAGCATCTTCCCTTATTTCTATGTAACAAGAATGTGGTTCAACCTGTCCATGTATGAATCTGGTTCTAGCTTTCAAGCTCAATTATTTTATTCTTTTTCTTGAGTAATAATTTTTTCATGTGGTGTTTATGTTCTGTTCATATAATGTTAAATAAACTATTGGGTGTTATCCAAATAACCAAGCACAAGGGAAACTTGGAAGAAGTTTTAATTATTTTGTTTAATTAAAACTAATTTTGTGCAGCCTTTAATTAGGAATGTGGAATCTGTAGTCTCAAACTCCCAGGCATCTCCTCCAGAGGTGGAATTCACAGTTCTCGTATGTTTTGCAGCTTCAGTTTGTGTAATGCAGCCTGACTGTAGTCCCTGTTGAAATAGCAGCTCTGCTTCTCCTGTGGCCATGCATTCCCACTCTCGTTCTTGAGGCTATTAACTTTCTGTT